TTGGTTTCATGAAGTGAAAAGATACCTTAAAGCTCAAGAATATCTTGAAGGGGCGTCAGTCAACGACAAGAAATTCTTGCGGAGGTTCTCACCCAAGTTCTTCCTGAGCAATGGGGTTTTGTACAAGCACAACCATGATTTAACCCTGCTTTATTGTATGGACAAAAAGGAAGCCGAGAGAATTATGGAGGACATGCATGAAGGCATCTTTGGTACTCACTCTAGTGGACATACTATGGCTAAGAAGATTATGAGAGCTGGTTATTATTGGTTGACCATGGAAACTGACTGTCATCACCACTCAAGAACTTATCATAAGTGCTAGATCTATGCTGATAAAGTTCATGTGCCTCCAGTACCTTTGAACGTCATGACTGCTCCTTGGACATTTGCAATATGGGGCATTGATATGATCGGAGAAATCAAGCCTACTGCTTCTAATGGACATCGCTTCATTCTCGTCGTTGTTGACTACTTTACAAAGTGGGTTGAAGAAGCTTCATTTGCCTTAGTTACCAAGAACGTCGTGGTCTGGTTCATCAAGCATAACCTCATCTGTCGGTATGGCATCCCTGAGAGGATCATCACTGACAATGGTATCAATCTCAACAACATCATGATCACTGAACTTTACACGTAGTTCAAGATCAAACATCACAACTCTTCTCCATATCGTCCAAAGTTGAATGGTGCAGTGGAAGCTGCCAACAAGAATATAAAGAAGATTGTGAAAAAGATGGTTGTGACCTACAAAGACTGGCATGAGATGTTACCATTTTCTCTTCATGGCTACCGTACTTCGGCGCAAACATCAACTGGGGAAACCCCTTTCTCTCTAGTCTATGGTATGGAAGATTTCCTTCCTATCGAAGTGCAAATCCCTTCTCTAAGGATTATGAAAAAGCAGACTTAGACGAAGACGAATGGATTCAGACTAGGTTAGATCAGTTGAATTTGATTTATGAAAAGAGGCTAGTGGCTGTCAGTCATGGTCAAATGTATAAAAAAACGTATAATCAAGGCATTCAACAAGAAGATCAAGCATCGGGTATACCAGGATGGTGACTTGGTAATAAAGCGCATCATTCTACCACAAGGCGATCCCAGGGGAAAATGGACTCCCACCTACGAAGGGCCATTTGTTGTCAAGAAAGTATTCTCGAGCGGTGCTATGATGCTAACCATTATGGACGACAAAGATTTCCTGCACCATGTGAATGCAGACATAGTCAAAAAATACTACGCATAAAAAATGACCTGCTAGGTTGACTGGCCTAGGAAAAAATAAGGGCATCCCGACGAACCAAAAAGGTTTGGGAAAAAATTAGGGATATAAACAAAAGATTATACACCCGACAAGTCGAAAACTTGAAAATGTGGCTTGGGAAAAAAGGGTATCCTGGTGGACTGAAAACCTGAAATAGCGGTCCTGGCAAAGATTAGGGATTAAAAGCGTACGACTATGTCTCGTTGGACTACTTACATGCCAACTTTATTACCAAAGTCGAAAGTTCAAATGGTTCAATCAACTTATTCCGATGGCAAGGGATGAGATGTTCGAAGATATAGGGGCAATAACAGAGTTTGGAACCCAATGAGATCACTTCCACATGGCTATACATTTTTGTTTTCACTTTTTACTCTTTTCATTTCAAGACGACTACCTCTTACTAGGATTTCCGTCTCTTTGTACAAAATCGCCTGTTTATAGGAAAATTATCAATACAAATACATCTTAAAGTTCAAACTTTTTGTTTTTTCTGTTTTGCTTGCAAAAACGTCCAATGACTAAAGTTGAATGAACATATGCATATGAACATGATTAACTGTTAACAAATATACGCATAAGAACATGAATAAGCATTTACTCAAGATTCTAGGAGCTGGAATGACACTTAAGTTGTCCATAAATCCCCACAGAGCCATTTCTATGAGATTACCCCCACATAATGATCTTCACAAAATTCATCCCCAATAAGGATACATTCCCCACAATTTCCTTACGGAGTTTTAATCTGTAAGTATTTGTTGGCAGCAACTTTAGTAAAACAATGCTTTGATAATGTTTTGCTAAATGTCTTGACATTTAGAGCAAACTATTTTAAATGATGCTAAAGCAGATGTCTTGACATCTGCTTCCTGAGATAAACGCAACTCACATAAGTTTAAGTTTTCAGTTTCCTGTTTTCACGCGTGCCATAATTCAGGATTTGTGACTCATAGGCTGCGAAAAATATGAAGGGATATTTTTCTATTTGAATTATCCTTCGATGGGATTATAGTTGATACCTCCTCCTACCCTTAAAAGGCACATTCGGGAACTCCTTATAGCTGTGAACAAACTCATCATAATCATAATTTCTGGGGTTCCAAACAATATCATGGGTTTCAAGACTCATCAGTCTCTTAGACCATTTTACAAAATCCTTAGCATCCACAAAAGCTCGTGTATGAGGAAGATGACTCATGGTCCATAGATAAAGAAGGGAAGCACAACAAAGAACAAGTCCTCCTTTCATGTTATTGAATGATGAACATCACCCAGCATGGATTGGATTCTTCAGCATAAAGAAACAAATAACATCCATATCATCATTTGGGAAGAGCACAATCCTATAAATGCAAAGAGCCAAGATTATGTTGAAAACAATCCAACTAACTGAAATAGCAAAGGCATAAGCTTTCTCAACTAGAAACTCCAGATGAAACCCATAGACGCGTCTTTTAACCTTAAGTTTGTCTTTCACAACAGTTTCACTCAAATAAAGAGCCTCTGCAATCTAGGGAAATCCATAAGCCTTCAAGATATATAAGAATATTCCTTCGAAGTAGGAGAAAGATGATAATCTATAAATATGAAGTATCTCCAGGAGAGATCATAAAACTGAAAGAGAGTATGAATAACTCTCCTTTCAAAAGGTGGATAATATCCTGAATTATCTCATACTCTTGTTTGAGGATCTAAATACTATATGGAGTGGCCTTGGAAACCAAACCAAGAAGAGACTACTGAGTAGGTATCATGAACTTGTAACCAATGGTGCTTCTTCTATCAGCATCTATCTCAAGAGGACAAGTTCAATGCCATAATCAAAGATTGGGATACCCTGGTGATGCAAGGCATGCCTGTCATAACAAACTCCAGGTAATGATGATATGAACATTCATAAGATCAAAGGCATGTGATCAAAGGTCCTCATATAATCTGGATAATCATTGTACAATACTCTGAACAAACATAACATGTTCAAAAGTCCGTCGTGACGAGCATGGAGCCAAAGTAACAACCAACCTACAAGGTATGGACTAATAATTTATCACCTACCGAATCAAGGTTCTAAAAGGTTCCCAGAGTCTACATCCTTCCTTCAGATATTACCAACATCCTGATTACTCAGTAATTAGTAATATTGTTAGGAAAAACTCGTCTGAGTGTAGTATCGTGTGACAATCACTTCGGATTACTCCGTTATAGCTTCCGCACTACTCCTAAAAGGCCAAGATGGGTTAGGGGTTCTACGGTGCTCAGCTTCAGCAGGCTCCCAGGTCGAAAGCAGTACGTCTTCCCGATTACTCAATAAACGACACTACAGTCAAAGGAGCCTCCATTGAGTGGGGGATCTCATGCCTCATTTTTTGGGATTACTCCCTCAAAGTTTACATGACTATACCACCCGTCCTAAACATAAGTGCATTCAAGTCTAGGTATAGGACTTATCTTACCACACAAAGATCATTGAACCCTAAAAACCAGAAGAAGAAAAAAAACCCTGCAAACAAGCATATATACAACAAATAATATATAACAAATAATAGCATATACACAGATAAACAAAGATAGGCTCAACCTACTTAGGGATGGACCAGCAAGAGGTCAATCTTTCCCCAGTGAAGTCGCTATTTTCCTGTAGCGGTAGAAATGTTTAAGACTAAGCCATAGGATTGATTAGACTTGTACAAATCAAAATAAAATCGCCACTGCGCTTTATTGTTTCCAAAGAAATGGGAAAAGAGAGAATAAACCAAAAAGAGGAGGAAAGATTCGAGATAAGGGGGTTGGTTATGTAAAGGAAATATATTAGTACCCTAAACATCTACGGTACTCTGCAGGAACCTCTTTGTAAAAATCTGTGTATGTTTGCTATTAACAAGAGCTATTTGCATGAATGAATCAATTTTGGGAAAAAGAAATTTTTTATTATTATTGCGTTCGCTTGGATCTTTAATCCAGTGCTTACGTATCCCAGGAGGAATCAGAACACTCGTAGTTCCTCTTTTAAAAATTTTAAAACACAAGTGTGTTGGTTAATTTTATGAGATAAGACATCTTCGTCATTGTCCGTGTGGAAGAACATACTTACTACCCTCAATCATGTGGAAGGAGAATTTGCATCATCTCAAAGTGGAGCATATGGTTTGGATTTAAAATCAACAAAGCCTCACTCAACACCCAATTGGAAAATATCTCTCTTCACTACATATCATAGAACTATAGTAGCTCCCATCACTACAAGGATTGACACGAGTCTAATCTTTTGGGAAAAAAAATTTTTAAGAGAAAAGTGCACAAAGAGCACAAAATGATTTGAATGAGTTGGAGTATTTTATTTGGTCAATTTTACATAAACAAAACACATAAGACATGATGTGTAAATTTGATTTAAAAAGAGATAAAAAATGATGAAATAGTAAGGATAAAAACTAATTAAAACACTTTAAAAAATCTAAAGTATTTTTTCATATATATTTTTTATTATTTTATTATTATATACTTTTTTAATATTTAAAATCAATAAAAGAAACCAAAACAATTAAAATGGGAAGGAAAAAATAAAAGAAAAAGAATATTGGAGGTGTGAAATTTGGAATCAAGGGGTGTGGTTCAGAAATTGGGCGTTAGGCCCATCAGAATTGAGTCCAGGAAGAAATTTTTTGTGGTTTGAAGCAATAAGCTCCAAAAACTGCTCGGGCTTAGGAAAAGACTGTACTTCGGCCCAGTCCAAAGTAAATCCAAGAGTTTTTTTTGTTTTCCAGGCAATGGGATAACAAAGTGTACAAACTGGGCTCGGTGGAGATGCGTGATACAAGATGAGGCCCAGTCTCAGCATGGCCTTAGTCCAATTCATTTTCCAAATTTCAGCATTATTTTTTATTTTTTATTTCAAATTTATTTAGTAAAAAAAACAATTAGTAGAAGAGGGCTATGGTTAAGTTGTCGAATTAACTTCACCCCTTCCTCAGATTCGCAGCGCCGCGGCTGCCTATTCATCAATAGTGGTTCATCCATAATCCCTTCTTCTCTGATCCGTTCAACTCAACAGCTCCATGAGACCACCACCTGGCTTCATCATCTCGGCCTCACGCTTCCGAATCAACCTCTCTCATCTGCGCGCGATTCGCTCGGTTTTCCTTCCGATTCCGCAGCATTGTGGCTTCGATCGCTCAAACAACGCCATCGCTTCAAACTCAGAAACTCCATCTCAGATTTTTTGTTTCTGTTTGCTCATCTACGATCATCTTCGCATATTAACCTCGCGTGCTTCATTCTCCTCAAGATCACCGAATCAAGTTCGTTTCAACACTATCAACCTAAGCCTAATCTTAGTAAAGCTAATACTCAGACAACGATTCAATCCAAGAACGTGCAACGATATAGATAACAAAGAGAGAAGGAGGAAGTACGAAGTAAATCATTGATTACTGACCGGAGACACTCCAGTGGTTCTTCTATGGAGGCGTGATAAAACGGAAAACCAGAGATCTTTCAGGTATGCCCCGTCGTTTTCAAGCATCTCTCTTCTTCTCTTTTTCTGATTCTGCATGATTTCTTACTTTTTGAGCGTGATGCGAGATGTCGCAGATTCGTCGAAGGTTTTCGAAGCAGAAGCATTTGTTGATGCAATGATATATACGCAATTTGTTGTTGCATTGGAGAAGGTTGATGGAGATTGGGAGCGAAGATGATATTTCAGTAATGATGATGATTTATGAATACTGATGTTGTTGTGCAATGAAGATTGGAGGCGCTGAGAAAATGCAAAGGAATTCCGCAGAGGAAGCTTTCTGAGATCAAGATTGGGCGAGAAATTGCAGCGGAATTTTGCTGCTTCACAGAACTTCAGAGAGAATTCTGAAACTTCTCTCTAAAGCTTTTGCAGAAATCTACGTATTTTTTGCTTTCCCCCCACCCCCACTGATCTGAAGATGAAGTCTATTATATATCAGTTGCTTGGCTTGTCTGAGAAGCTTCTCAATAGGTAAGATCAATCTGAACCATTGAATCTTTGGATAGTTATTTATCATCTGAATGGATAGGATGGATTCTCATACCAGCTTGTAACGTTAATCTAAATTTCTAAAACAAAAAAATTTGTTATCTGAGTTTAATGCTGAGCTGTATCATTTTTATTTTTTTGAGTTATTTCCTCTGCATTTTCTACGTGAATCAAGGCAACAATATTTTACTCTGTTTTTTATCATTGCCTTTTGCTTCTGCTTTGATGAGCTGGCTTAATACTTTTCCCAACTTTCTTCTGTTTCGTTGATTTTCTTTAGATATAATATTTCTTCTGATTTTTCTGCTGTCACAATACTTAATGCAGGGCTGATTTCTTCTTCTTGAACCGATGTAGACCAGTAGTGGTAAATCGGTTCTGAAACAGGGCTGTAACAAGAGCTCAAAAGTCTTGCAGTTTGGAAATGGAGATTGTTGGAAGATTGGGATATGGAAGCATGAAGACTAATTAAGATAGAGGAAGTCATGTAGAACACTTAGTGTAGATTTTTTACTAATGTACTTTGATGTAATTTGATGAATGTTGAGTGATGATGAGTGTAAGTGAATTGGTTGAACTGTATTAATATCAATTTGATTTATATGAGACATTTGATGCAACATTCTAGACATGGTTTTAAATTAATGAAATAGACACTTTGGAAATTGAATGGATGGAATAGACTTTGAATCTTTGAACTTGAAATCTTGAATTATGCCTTGAATGTTGAAATTTGATTTATGACTCACTAGCTTGAATGAAGCCAAAACAAATTGCCACAAATGACTAATGAACCTCGCACTATGTTTCAAGTGACTTGTACTCCAAGAAATCCACATGAACTTTCTTCCAACTTAGCATGTTCGAATCAAGCTTAATGAGTAAAGTATATGCTTTGGGAGTTTTGATATCAAGTTTGAACAATCTTTGAGCCTAAAAAAAATCCTCATGAATGGACTATGCTTTGCATACTTCAATTGATCCTTAAGAGTTTTGAGTGAACTTAAATATCTCGAAGTCCAAATAAGCCCCATGAATCATCTTCCATCCTTATCTTAAACAAAATAAATGCTTGAGCTTGATGTCCAGATGAAACCAGGATCAATATCTTAAATCACGCTCTTTTTTGGATCATTTGAAAATAACATACCTGAATAAATATCTTCATAAAAATGAATCCAAATTAACTCGCAAGTAACAAGTAATTGAATATGCGACAAGACCTTGATCATAAAGAATTCTCGCATTCATCTTTTGTGCCATGATTCATTCTTTTTCATTAATCAACAAACCCTCTTGTCTTGACAAAGTACTTTCTTCCATTGACGAATTTGACACAAAGACATGCCCTTGAGGAAAATTCCTAACCTCTCGAGAAGAATTAACTTGTGGAGCAGGTAATTAGGAGAAATCCTAAATCTCTAGACCTTGAGTGCATATGGATGAAGAAGGCTTGAGATGGTGTGAGGAACAAAACCTAGCTCAAGGACATTCACAGTGAATTCATGATAAAGTCTTGAGTACACAAGTCAAATCCTAATGCACTGGTTTCTTGAAGAAATTCAGATGAAGAAAAACTTGTATCTCGAGGAATCTTGCCAAGGAAAATACTTATGATGCTTGTAGATCCCAAAACCCTGGTTTCATACCAAGATAGATAAATGAAATAGTGGAATCAACTTGAGAGAGACAGTACCTCAATTCATAGGGGAAAACCCTAATATCAAGAGCCATTTGAGCCCATGTTTTAATACCTCACATGAATGAAAGATTTATGATGTAAATGCATATGATGTTATGAATGAACAAATTAGGGGCAAAAAATGGGGTATGACACTGATTAATGATTTGATCCCCAATTCTAGTTGTTCGTCCCATACAATTGTATTCGTCTTGATGAAGTTTGCTGATGAGAATTCTCAACTCTTCTTGCCCCGAGCTAAATTTTGGATAAGAGCTATCTGACCCATCATCTGGATTCTCATCATTGCCATCTCATCCTGCAATTGTTCCAACTGGTCATCCATGTTATCTTCGGGATTTTTCTTGGTCATGTTCTCAGTGAGGAGTTCTTTCAATTCTTCTTGCCCCTTGGATAGGTTCAGGAACATTTCTTGGAACTGAGCACTTTGGATCTGAAGATCTTCAATAGTCTGTTCTAGAGCCATCTTTACTGAAATAAACAGTAAGAAGATGAGAAAACCTGTATGGGAAAATCTGTTATGACATGATGCATGATATGTAGATGCAATGTTTTCAAGGATCTCACGGGGTAAACAAAAGTGAAATGTTAGAAGTTGAGTCTGGCTGCAGCTTTGACTGAAGAACTTCACGTTGTTGAACGTCCTTCTATGAGCATCAAGCTCACCATGTCAAGTGGGTCCTAGCCTTTGACTCAAGATAAAGTGCTTCGGTCTTTGATATCATTGGTTAGATGAAAAAAAATCCCATTGCCCCTTGCTAGATGTCAGTTCATAATACTTTGACGGAATTTGGTTGAAGGAAAATAAATCCTCATGCCCCTTGCTAGATATCTGGTTCATGATAACCTGCATCACATGCCCTTGAGATCCTTGAAATGGTCAGTGAAAATGATATGGTATGATGTTATGATGTGTATGATATGCACAAAGCAAAAGTGTAAGGTGATGAAAAAAAGTAAGTCTTGCAAGAAGTCCAGGTTATTGGATAATGACTACAAATAAGTCCTATAAGGAATTCACATCGTTAGATAATGAACACAAACAAGCCCTACAAGGAGTTCAAGTTGTTAGATAATGGATACAAACAAGTCACACAAGTAGTCTTAGGTTCAGGCTTGCATGGAGTTTGTAGGTAAGTACCCTCTTGAGTTTAGTTGGCTCAACCTGTCCTAAGAATAGTAACTGGGTTATAGAAATCTCGCATCACTGATCTTTCTCTCAGGCATTGTTTCAGCTCAAGCATCTGATTTACGATTGAAATATCCTGAGAGTCTGATCTCAATGAGTGTAGCATCGAGTATCAATCAACTTCAGTCTGCACCAAAGTCGGTCATCTCACTACTTTCTAATGGCTAAGTTATGTCAACTAAGGTTCTATGGTCAGCTAGTGCTTAGGACATCACGCGGCAGCCCAACATTCTCCTTGACTGACTCAAGAGATACCAGCACAAACTAATGTTTCACACTAATGTAGCCATCTCATTAACCGTATTGGTATACGTTGTACATTCTTCACGATCTATTGCTACTTACCTAAAATGCCCCCAGATCCAGGTGTAGTGGTAGAAATGTTGAGACTAAGCCATTGGATTGACTTGACTCACACATATCAAAATAAAAATCGCCACCGCGCTTTATTGTTTCAAGAGGAATGGGAAAAGAGAGAATAACCCAAAAAAGAGGGGGAGAGAATCTAATTTCGGGGGTTGGTTATGCAAAGGGAAGGTATTAGCACCCTAAACATCTATGATACTCCGCATGAACCTCTTTTAAAATTTGTGTATTTTGGCTATAAATATTGTATACAAAAATATATGGTGAAGACGAGAAAAGAAGTATATTTTACAATTTTTTCACTCGCCGCGGTTGTGAATATTTAGTGCTTATGTACCGCCTCCCATGCAATAGGGGATCATGGTACTCGTAGTTCACCTTTAAAAATTTTAAAACACAAATGTGTTGGTTAATTTTAAGAGATAAGACATCATCGTCATATCCGAGTGGAAGAACATACTTACTACCCACGATTATGAGAAAGGAGAATTTGCGTCATCTCAAATTGGAGGATATGGCTTGGATTTTAAAATCAACAAAGCCTCGCTCAACACCCAAGTGGAAATCATCTCACTTCACTATATACCGTAGAAGTATAGTAGCTCGCATCACTACAAGGATTAACAAGAGTCTGATCTTTTGAGAAAAATTTAAGGTAAAAAGCCAAAGTTGAAAAATAGTTTGAATGAGATTGATTGACTTTTAGTCTTCTCACAAAAATGTCAAAGTATGATTAAATTGGTTAAAGTTTGATTAATAAAATTCTTTGAAAGTGCATGGACATAAGTCCAAGTTTATTGTGAAAGCGATTCAAGTTTTAAAACAAGAAAAGCTTTCAAAAGGAGGGAGAAGATTTTTGAAATTAAAGAAAATGGGAGGAGATAGAGAGACTATCCTAAAGCATAAGGTAAAAGCTAGGGAAAAGAACCGTCTAACCAATAAGAAGCCAACACTTGACACAATGAGTCAATGTAGAATCCCCATCCTTCAGATTGAAACCAAACTAGCAAAATTACTAAACTTCTTAAGAAAACCAAACTTCAAATGCATTAGGTCTTCACAAAAATCGGGTAGAGTAACAGTTGTATACAGATAAATTCTTGATCACAAACAAAGCATATAATCAGA